GACTAGCAGGAGGGTCGTGACAAGTTTCCATAGTAGGGGCGATGATCCTAATTCAATAATTTGAAGGTGAATTCTCAAATTTGGACCAAGACACCGGCACACAATGGCCTACTTTTGCAAATAACGTCACGCTCCATGGGTCATGTCACCACCCTCATTAAAAAGCACAGTATCTCGGTAACTTAGAGTGTTATATAAACACCCAGATTACTGATTAATAAGGAATTGCCTACATGTATGGCTTTTCTGTACAAACATTCTGAAATACGGCGCGACATTTGGAGACAAGGATCAGTGGATCACACATTTGTGAAAACAGCACTGGAGCTGGGAAGCGGCCAAAAGATGGCGATACAGCAAAGCGGGATCGTGAACTCATCTGTGCAGACTTTTGAACGTTGCTGCTTCATACGTATAGGTTTCCTCCCTCATGCTATACACTCATAACATCTAATTTGCAAACATTCCATTGCAGGAACACTCTGAAAATTGAGGCTTTCCTAGAAAAATAATTGTTTACTATTATCATGATCAGCCATGATCAATCCACTGCTGGATTAAGGGCCTCCCCAAGCAGTTGGATCTCTCACGGTCCTACGGTGTAACAATCCACTTAGCACCTGTCCACGAACTGATTTCATTACTCCATCTCTGCAATTAAATACCACAATTCACAATATCAAAACAAAGCTTCGTTGGATGGGAGCCTTATTGGAATATGTATTATAATGTATGACTTGCTTACTAAGCGATTTGGAGTAAATACTGTACGTACGTAGAAATGTGTGTACAAAGATTAAAATGGAACTGCATGTCCCGGCAATTATATGTTTGTTATGGGGAGACGGTCATAGCAGAGAGGTAGTGAGTGATTTGTGTAATACAGGCCGAGATACGAGCCTGGCACTCCTCTGTTTTATGGTTGGCTGTTCTTTTTAGGTATGGTATATTAAAACAAATATTGTTACAGTTTACGTGCCACCAGTTTCTCTTTTAAACACGGAACCTTGGCTATTCACGGGTCTCAATGTCGGGCAATTAAAGGTTTATACGCAGGAGAGATTTATGACTTTTATCAGACATTCTTTTGGAGGAGGGAGTAGGGGAGAGGTGGCACAGTGGTTCACGCCCTGCGCTAACGAACCCAGTAACCCGAGTTCGATTCCTGACCACAATTAACATAAAGTGTCATGAATCGAGTCTTGCTCCCCTCCCCACTTGCCTTCATCAAACCCAGTGACCAGCGTGGAGAAGTATGGTCAAACCATCTCCATGGCCAACGCAGCATGGAGAGGCTTTCATCCAGGAGTGGACTGACAAAAAGCTGTAAATGAAATAAACTGAGACAACTAAATATGTATTACTTAAATAAGGCAGTATTCTTAGATACTCCAGAGATGATTAACATTATTCAACATTTGGTGCACAAGGCACACTACTTAATTTCCAATTGTTAGGTACAGTATAAAACTAAAGTGTCGAGAGATATAGCTTATATGTCCAATCAGTTTGAAGGACAATGCATATATTATCGGAGTGTGTTTTTGTTTGCATTTGACTGCAAGTATTGTCGTTAATGCAGACATGAATTCTTGTAAAAAGGTTTCAGTTTTGTTGCCAGAAAAAAGGGGGAAAACCCTATTGTTATATTTTGGTACTGGCAAAGGAGGTCTAATGATGACATATAGCTTGTTGAATTAACATATCAGGACGAGCTGACCGTGAACTTACTCAACGAGGTTGCCTAGTTAGTTTGCTAACATATTTTGTAATTCATTTGCAAAGTGTAATCAAATGCTACCCTAATGTTTTTTATGAAAATTTTTCATGATTTTCGGACATTGGATTGCATCGTCATGAATGGACCACAGCAGCTGTGAGCAATCTAAATACTTTACTAAATAATGTAATCAATTTCATATCTGGCAATCACAAATGCGCTATGTTTCACAGACGGACATAGTCTGCCAGTAAACAGCAATGTTGGTATTTGTAATCCCAATTGTAGGCAGCTTTCAAATTTGGACCGTGAAGCCATCGCACAAATATGCCTACTCATTTGGAATGACATCAACGGGGTCTAGAATGTTAAACGTCTGCTATGAAGCAAACGACGTATATCTGTGTGGTTAATACACCCACAGTAATAACCAGGGCAGCCTGAGGGATTGGAACCGCGAAACACTACAACGAGTGGGAAATGCGCTGCCGCTGGGCCATGTCACGGGACAAACTCGTGACTGACATACACTCAATCAATCTGCCCGAGTTCTGTCGAAGGCGCGTGACGTTAGAGTTCATTACCTTAACAAAGATCCCGCGTGCCAACAAAAATATCTGCGTGAGACACTGGGAATGACAACGGAGAGCACTTGCAGGCTTGAGTAACATGCAAGTCGACTGTCCCGACAGCCCAGCTAAGTGACGAGGATATGTGCGGCTTGGCCTCACTGATCTTTGAGGTCCTGGTGCAGCACAACGGTCAACCAGACAAGTCCTACGGAGAGTCAAACTGTGCCACACAGGGCACACTTTTACACTACAACTCACAACATCGGTTTAGAAATTATGTCTTCAAACAAACGAGGAGTCAACATTCTAAGAGACGCTCTTGCACGATATGGGATAACTTTGAAATGAACTCGGGCATTCACAACCCTCATGCGTTGAGCGTGCGTTTGCCTTTTTAATCTGGTTTCTTTTACTGTCTTATCGTTACAATAAGTATGGGAGGGAGTGTTCATCTGCAGTACTATTTCATGTTCCAAACTATTTCATAAAATAATTACATTGGCCATTCTCATTGCTTTCCTGTGCCTGATTTTTGGTGTTATGCAACTCAATTCCCAATGTTTCCAGCACTGAAATCAACAGAACCTGAAGGTACGGGATGTCTTTTGATCAATAATAATAAACCGTGGACAACCTTCACAACCTGACGGTCCATAAGACCTGCCTATACAATGGCCAAATGACTACTGATAGTCTGTACAAAGTATATATAACGATCGTTAAGTGATACATTTATTACACTCCTATCTTTAAAAAGTAATGTATTAACCCGACATTTTGGGTGAGTGGACAATATAACAATATACCAATTAAATGACATCATCACTTTGAATGACCTGTTTCCACATGCTTTGCGGAACATGAATTACACATGCAATGAATTACCCATCAGTGATTGAACTTACACAAACGTGTATTCGTTCTTCATATTCGTTCTAAAAATATATACACTGCAAAAATTACTGCAATTCACATGCCAGCCAGTGCATGTAAGCAATAGTTTACTGTATATTAAGTGCTCACTTTATTATTAAAGCACTGTAGCTTTCACAGAAAATGTTGGCCTATGCAGGTCCTCAAGGAAGATCTGGGTAAAACCAACATTACATAAACAGTAGCACAACAAAAACCAGACTCACCCAGATAGGCTATTGTGACTGTTGACTTGCAGGAACCTGGTTTTCGTCTCGGGTCCCGGCGGGTTACAAACATACAAACCCGAATGGTCCAGGCCGACTCTGAAGCTGGCAAGTTTGTCAACTGTCTGCAAGCCAAGCTCAAAACAAAGGAGTTCTCAACGTGTACTCTACCATACCAACGTGTACTACCAGGCGTACTTACCAGTAATGTACAGGGTGAATTGCGAACCCCCCAATGAATTGACCCCCGGACTTTTGTGTTCTCCCTACGCATATTTATTTCTGTTTTAAATAAACCTCACTTTTAACAAAAATATATATACACGTTTTAGATAACAAATGGCGGTTACAAGACATCTGGACCGACCTGTACGTTCTGGTATTGTACACGTTATGGGAGTGGGGGGAGGAGGAAATCACTTAAGGTGGTTTTATGAAAACGTCTACTGACCAGTCTTTCTGAGCTTTGGACCTGAAAGTCCACCGAAGGTTCGCGACCGAGCACCGCTTCTGCTACAGTTTTAAGGGCTCTTTGCCGAGTACCAGACGCTCGCATGGAACGAGTAGTAAGTGAACAACAGTGCATGTTACAGATCACGCGTCCCTCTAAACAAATGGTAATGTTCACGCAGTTATGCGTTCATAAGCGACCTTGTCCGAGGTTATGCTAAATAATGTAATCAATTTCATATCTGGCAATCACAAATGCGCTATGTTTCACAGACGGATGTAGTCTGCCAGTAAACAGCAATGTTGGTATTTGTAATCCCAATTGTAGGCAGCTTTCAAATTTGGACCGTGAAGCCATCGCACAAATATGCCTACTCATTTGGAATGACATCAACGGGGTCTTAAAGATTGTGTTATAGTCTCGCTCTTCCAATCACCTGGGGGAACATATGGGATATCTTCGGATATGGAAGGTTACGCAGGTCTGATAGCGCGTGTATGGGCGATCTCCAAACATCAAGCAGGTACTATAGGCGGCTGCGGGGCTGCGTTGTCAACAGAGGTCAGTGCAGCAATATCCATAGTTGTGCTATACTGTTGTCCAACGTCTATGCCCCCTTGTTTCACTAACCCGCGCTCAACCAACGTGATGAGAAGTATGGCCAAATAACGCCGATTTAATTCACGACGCGGGCAAAGCCCTCATCTAGCAGTGGATTTACACACGTATGTCTACACACGTGTACGGTTACATTCATTGACGTTTGAATCAGAATCTGTGTTTACCCTGGAGAAATCCGATGAGCTCCAAATCTCTTTGTCACACGTTCAGTCGACATGGGAAGAGGGGAATCGCCAACTACGCAGCTAACATACCTTTACTTTTCATTACCGGTGCTGCAATACAAAACTTGGCCCGTTCCATAACCACTTTAGGAACTTAGCAAGCAAAGCCAACATGCGTCTCCACCCTTAGAAAGTGTGCGGTTGCCTCGGTGCTAAAGAGACTCGGGAACGGCGTAGGTCTACACCTGGTAGCATACGACGATGCATTCCAATTAAGTTGCACACAGTGTATAATGTGTGTGTGTGTTGGGGGAAATGAGCTGCCCCGCTTACAGATTGTAGAAACTGTAATAGCGTTGGTATCTGGCGGCCCCGTGGCGTGACCTTGTTTCAAGAGTTGGCACCCCCACGAACTCCGGGGGTGGGGAAGGAGGAGGTCGGGGTGGGTGAGAGAGGGGGGGGGGGGTACCACACAATGTTAAACAAACGTTGAGCAAACGTTGAACGCTAAACAGAACAACGACCTCCCCCCCCCCCCCATGTCGTGCACGCTCCTCTAGCTCTGCTGACATTCTTTCACTTGACTACAATCGTTTAGAGGGGGTTGGTGGTGGGTGCAGTGGGGGGGGGGGCTCATCCCCCCTCCAGCCCCGGAATTTAAACTCGCATGGCAGGGAGATGCAATGAGTATTGGTTTTATGGAAACTTACAAGAGGTATGGTCCAATATATCTTGTGACCCCTCTCCCCCCTCCCCAATGAATTGGCCCCTAACATAAAAAAATCCTTTTCATATTCATCTCTGTTTTAAATATACACCTTTAAAAATATTACGTTCTACAGAATTACATGGGGGGGAGGGGGGGTGTCACAAGACATGGACCACCAGTTGTAATGTACCGTAGTAGTTCTGTGGGGGTGGAAAGGATACTCCGTGTTTTTTTTTATTACTTTGGAAACCGAGACACGACCGTGATTGTAAAAGTTATTGAGTGTAACAGAGGCGAGACCCCCCCCACCCCCCCAAGTCCTTGTGCACAAACACTACAAATCGTCTCGTGTCGACAGCAGCAGACGCCTGTCTATTATCGCAGTGTTCTAGTGTCGAGGTGGTGACAACTCGTGAATAGGCAATGGGCCTCGGATCTTTAAACTGGGAGTAAAGCAAACGCGTGAAACGCATTCTCGTCACAACGCAAGCAGCAGTGTTGTGTGTACTTACACCGCTATAACGTGGTGTCCCACCGGAGTACATAGTATAGCAAGGCCATAATTATAATATTAATTGGGGGGGGACACATACACCCCCCCAATATTAAAATATGCAAAAAATGTCCCCCCCCCAATATATTGCTATAAAATAGATTTCTGTTTATATGATTGTGGTTATGGTTGTACTTTATTAATCCCTAATCTCTGCCATTACATACAATGAAACAAGAAAAGGTAAAAAAAGAAAAAAACAGAGCAATGTCATACAATACACTATTAGACATTATTGTAAAACATAAATTTAAAGTCCATCCTATGTGTTAGTGAATTTTGTAATATTTTAGGCAGGAAATTCGTTTTCAAATTGAGATTTATTTTTTCTCCTGGGGGGGGGACCCCTGCTAGATTTGGTCCCCCCCAATGTTGACTCCATGGCTACAGCCTTGTAGTATAGTGTACATTAAATCACGTTACTTTACAACGCGCATTGCTTGTACCGCTTGCGCTGGGCTGCGGCTAATAAGCACAGCAACCGGACAATGCGCGTCCTGATCGACACGCCGAGCAGAGAGAGAGCGAGAAAATCAATGAATTGCGTTATCCTCGACACGTCTTTAATCACCGACGACTCGCGTCCATTCGCTTAACACAACCGCTTCGAAAATAAGTTACAAGTTAGGACGACGACGACAACAGCAGCAGCAGCGGCATCAAAGTCCCATCGCGTACCGTGTTCTCGCAAGATCAACAAACACCGGGGGTCGCGCAACGAACTCAACGAAACGCTAGCTCGGGTCAGAGGCAGCGGCGGTCTTCCGTGGCTTAACAGCACCTCGGATTGGACTTACCCCTTTCCACAAGGCAACCGGAGGAGGTCAGCTAGACGGGACTGCTTTAGCACCGCGTTGGTCAGCCACCGCCGGTAGTAGCAAGCGACTCGTTGCCGAATCCTTCTTGCTTGCTCTGCTTGTGCCACCACCACCACTACTACCACCACCCCCACAACAGCGGATCAACGCACGGACACACGCACACGCCACATACATTTATACACACTCACACATACAGAGAGAGAGCGAGAGACGCGTACCGGGGGTGGGGGGGCGTGAGAGCATGACATCAGCAGTGTTTACCGTGCGTGGGGCGGTACGGGTTAGCAGGACTTGTTCATTAGCACGCGGTTGACTTTGTGCGCGCGCGCGCGCGTCCCTTTAAACTCCTCTTGTTATACTTCTTCACGCGCAGGTAAGTTCCCTGTGCGGCTTGGGCTCGTCCCACCTGGCAAACCACCCCCCAACGTTGCTGTTTGCTTTACGTACGATGAATGATGCAAGAAGAGCGGTTGGGTCGCTCATTCACTAGCGTCGTTTCATTCGCTGTGTGCGCAACGAACGGACTCGACCCCCCCCCCACCAACACCACCACCACCAACTCGCTGTCTCTCGCCACTGCTGGAGCTACAACTATTTTCATTTTAACAGATAAGGCTCAGCGAGTTATATATATATATAGAGCTCTTTTTCAGGAGCGACTTGGGCCACACCGTGATAGGTCAGCGAAGTGGCTTATCACGTGGACATTTATAGAAGCCAATTTTTCCTTCATGTCGATTTTCAATGTGGAGGGAAAACCCAGGGATATTTTCACGTGAACACGGGGAGAGAGAGAGAGAGACACGCAAACTCCTAATACTATACAGCGGGCGTCAGGTTCGGCATCGAAGCCACGACCTCCTGTAGATCAGGCGAGGTAGTTCACATCTCGCCATCGTGGCACTCCAACACGCCCGGGGGGCCTTTCATTGCCCGTTTCTGCCTCGGAAATAAAAGTGACACTTGGTCATCAAACTCTCCGCCTCGCTACGCGGTGTACAGGCAGTCCTCTACTTACGGTGGAGATGCGTTACGACGACCCCATCGTAAGTCGAAAATATCGTAAGTCGAAGATGGCCTAGCCTACCCAGGAGTCTTAACGAATGGTGATCATTTAGCAAAACAGAGAAAATTTGTCGTGGTAACCTTAAAATGAAATCGCTAAAGCTACGTATCATACAGAGCATTGAACGTATTGTAACGTATCATATTGTACTGTACTCAGCAAGATTCTGTCCGTCGTCTGCATACTTGAACGATGTTAGGTTGTCGATGGCAATTTTGTCGAATCGCTATCGCCATCGTAAGATCGAAATATCGTAAGTCGGAGCATCGTAACTCGGGGACTACCTGTACTTGCATCATCGTCACGCCTCATCGATCGGGTGCTCTGGAGAAAGAGAGCAACCACATGTTCGGGGGCTTAAAGTTGCCAGAACAAGAAAACCTGCCCCCCGGTGTAAATCATTAATCACCGACTGTGTGGCAATTGCGACACCCCGCAATAAAAAAGGACATTCTGTTCTGCCTACCCCTTTTTTATGGGCGCATGCCCTACACGCAAAACCCAAGTCTTCATATATCACACCTACGGTTGTTTAATTGCAGAGTAAACGCGTACATTTTGACCTAATTAAGTGTTCCGTGATCGTGCAAACCGCAGAGTGACAGCCATCACCGGAGGTGTCTGCAAACCGAGCGAACACCGAAATAACAACCCCGTGCTGAAAAGCCAGACTTTGGCTTGATGTAAGAGCCCACGGTAATGCATTAATTGGAACAATTGACGCCGATCGTTGCACGCTCGGTCCTGTGCAAAAGCACAGGTGATTTTTTTTTATCGAGTCTAGCTTGTTCCAAATATTTTTTTTCTCGTCTTCAGTACAACAAAATCACATACAAAACCTGTTGCGCGCAGCTCACCTTTACCTGCGAGCTATAATGCCTCCACACCCAATTAACGTGTGGAGGCAGGGGGACGTGAGGGCACGGCTAAAGCATGACACCGCCAAGGTCAACTACACAAAAGAGCCTTTGTGTGCCAAGGGGCCGGCACGTCACAACAGACGCGGGCCATTTAAATGGATGCACACCCTCCACCTACAGCGTAAGTAAACGCAATAGGTTATATGCGGATTTAAAGTACAGTCGGGCATTGGATAATATGAAGTCCATGACAATGTGTACGAAAGTTCTAACATTCCTTCGATTCCTATAATATACTCTGTGCATTGCAAGTCTTCATCCAGATGCGAGGACTCAGTGCTGCTAGCATGCGCTTGCCTCTGAGACAACGTGACGAGTTGTGGGCTGTTAGCACACCTTGCCCATTTCTATTTCCTTCCCTCAAGCTACAAAAGTGACATTTGAGTATTTCCAGACTTGTGCCGGAGTCACAGGCGTTCCAAGAATTCAGTGGTAAATGCAATACTGTAGAACTGCTACTGGTAGGAACCTCCTGGTTACACCAGCCCACAGAGGATTATTGTGTCCGTCGTGCAGGGAGGGGCTGGGTGGGGAGAGGCTGGGTGGGGCTGGTTGGGGGGTGGGAGGGGCTGTTTACTCCGTGGTGCCCTTATAAAACTCAACGTTTAACCTACTCACGCCGGCTTGTGCCCGCCCTCACAGTCGGGCATATTTGCGGAATACACCACGCCGCCGTTGACCGAGCAACCCAACGTTGACCGAGCAACCCAACGTTCCTACCAGCTCCCTCCGCAGGAATGTGTTTGTTTGTGTGCCAGTTCTCTAACATTTACACACGGATGCACCCAAAAAGAAACATCCCCAATATCTGCATTACCGTATGTGTTCAACAGTATGAACATGCAAATCTTTGTCGCTTAATGCAAATACATTGTACTCTGCAATGGGTATGCTGTACAGTACTCGTACATACTGGTTTCTATACGCACCGACATACAGGGCATAGAAAAACAGGCTGCACCAAGTGTTTATTCGTACATCAACACGAAACACATCGTTAAACCTCCAGAATGTAAAAAGACAAGTGCTCCCAAAATTTTCTATTGAAAATATAAGTATAGTATAACGTAATGGACACATCTTCCATATTTTTTTTTATAAATGTAGTCATGTTGCTGCCACCGCCACAAGAAAACAGTAGTTAGCACAAAGGCCATCAAGGTATGCTGCTCAAGAACGCCCATTAATACATTACATTGCTTGCCTTATAAACATTGTGGCATGTCAGTGTTTTTTCTCCATTCTCAAAATAATATTGCGGAGTAAATATACTTATTTTTCATGGTAATTTCATTATAACATATGCCACACGTTTATTGGAATGTCAGACGTTAAACAAGATACTGTGCAAAGTACATTTTTAGAACAGCAGAGTGGTTAAATGACAAATAAGAGACGCTGGTCTCGTTAAAGAAATACAGAAACAAAGCAAACCATTGAATGAATTGAACATTAAGGGAAACAATAATACTGACATCCATTGACAAGCCATTCAGCCTTTAACCGTCCCACCTGCTAGGTTGGAGTACCTGCACAACTGTCAACGTGGCTCTATTCCATGCAAGAAGTGCAATTTGTCCCCGAATAGATCGTTCATTGCATGCTGGTACACATGCGGGAATTCCTCATCGGTTTTTTCAACTGCATCAAATTAGTAATATTCCTGAATTCATAATATACAATGATAATCACAAGCATACTTGCATGTTTAATTATTTTCAATCGCTCTAATAACGTGGGGAAAGGCACACATCCCATATTTAATGGAGCCAAGTTTACAGTTTCCCACCCATCTTTTGACACAATGCTCCAAGCAAAATTACTGCCTTTTCCAGCTATACACTATTGATAGACACAGTACAAACTTGCACGTAAGTAGATGAGAAATAATGTCATGTAAATTCTAGAACATAACATGTATTATGTGCATCAAGAGGCATTTTAAGAGTCCCCATTCCCCATCAAAAACACAAGCTGCCAGGGGAAAGTTTTACAAAGGTATAATATGCAATAAAAAGGTGTCAATACAAAATATAAGCGTACACATTCTTTTGCACACATTTAATGGTGTGCGTAATTATTTTGCACAAAGAAAATACACATGTAAAGCACCAACCATCAGCACACATGGCACTTCATTGGTCATGAACAATATGGTCTCCAGTAGGCTTTCATGTTGTATTTGTTCCACCGTCTAAAGGCAAAGTGCTCCTAATGTCGACAGTAAGGCGCTCAATGGGAGGTTGGATGTGTAATAGCCTTCCTATGACGATGAACTCCTGATGGTTCCTGACTTTCCATTTACTTCGATGGTCTTCACAGACTTTGGCACCTATATAAATCGAGCAGGGGGGTGGGGGGGAGGGTATATCGCATTTAAATTACACAGGCAGTCCTCGGACCTACATCAGGTTACAGTCCTAGAAAAGGTGTCGCAAGCGGAAGCGACATATGCCGAGACAGATTTTCCCAGATAAACAATGATACAATAGGGGGTCACGTTCCTGACCAAGGATCCTATATGCCACTTTTAATAGATATAAATACAAGTAGCATATTTAATCAACTACCAATTATATATAAAGTACAATATTAGTGTCTAGAAAGTTCTTACCTTTTTTAAAGGATGAAATAAATCAAATTATTTAAAAATGCTTAAACAGCGCGAAGAATGCACATAGGTTTAGCACCGGAGCGCGTCGGGAGGCTGACTGACTGGGTGGCGTACTGTGTTGTTTGTTTGTGCACAGAACCAGCAACTGAGTCAGCGTCACGCCGTATGTAAGGGTCTGACCGCCAAAAGTAACAAGGGTGTCAATTGGTGACCTGCCTTAAGTGCGGATCAACGTAAGTCGAACAGACTTAAGTTGAGGACCAACTGTATATTTTAATTGCAATACAGTATATATTTCTCTATTGCAACACTGCAATACAATTTTTTTTTTAAGTTAAAATGATTTCCACCTTAACTTCAAAGCATTTCTAAGAAATAAAAAATGTGTGTGTAGTAAATATATATGTATGCATGTGTATAAACTGAGCTCTTGTGCCCACCTTTTTAAGCATGCCAGCACAACTGCCGGATCGGATGGCATCAAGCATGGCCAGACGTGCCTCCTCCGGACTACACTCTGTACTTCTGGCCCCATTACCCATAAGGATGACAGGAGGTGGGGCTGTGGGAACTGGAGGAGAATGCACAGATGCAAGCCGTGTCCGCACTGTGGCTGAATCGCTCGAGTCAGCTTCTCTCAACTGCTGAGACACCAGTTCTTCTGCTGCTGTAGATGAGGTCTATGAAAACCAAAAGACACAGTACACACCAGTCAATGAGACACCAAGAAGTGTGATACCTGAGGTCACACACTTCAAGTTCAGACAAATCATGCCATTGTTCGATGCTGTACAAACGTACATCCTTAAGCTCAAGAAAATTATATTAAAGCATGTTTTTGTTAATGTATTTATTAATGTCTTTATTAATGGGAGCAGTCAAATAGGCCCTAATATCCGTGATTCGTACAATTTGAAACAGCTGTCAGGTTCACAAAAGTTCCATTATCCACGGCCCTATTCTTCCTATTATCCTCGATTATCCCCGACTTTTTCATTAGTCATTGCGGAGTGGCATCCTATAATCTGAGATTTTTGCAGATAAGAGTCCCACGGCACATACATCCTATTATCCGAAACTTTTTATTTAAAAAATCACTTTGACCAAAGCAAATTAACGGATGGCGCTTGCTTTGTTTATACACTGCATGGAAAAACAAAGACACACAGACGAGACACACACACGAGACACAAATATCCCACTCTGTATATCTGTCACCGACTCTTGGAGCAAGTGATGTTAGCACGAGCACCCATGAAGGCAGGAACGTTACACGAGGGTGGCCAGCATTACGCCCGGCCACCTTTGTCTCCCTCGTGCTAATATTTACACACCGCACCAGGTACTCATTTGAGGCCGAGTCAACATAGAAGAGGCCCAGAATCAGTTTAAATATTTGTCACTGGTTTTGACCGTGAGCAGGAATTTAACTGGTGTATCTAGGTTCACAGCACGGTGCACAAACCGCTGCACTGCCGCTCCCCAAAGACAGAGACACACCCAGAGACACAAAGACATGAAGACACACACAGACGGAGACGCACAAAGACTTGGAGATTGAGAGTGATGGAGACAAACACAGACACACATGTAGATACATGCACTGTACATAAAAACACAGGTGAAGATAGGGGCAGGGGAAAGCACATTACAAACACACAAAGTGAGCAATAGATCAGCAGACGCACAGAGATACTTCAGAGATGTGTTTCAAGCGTGTGAGCGTACGCAAACACCTGATGTTTTTTAAAGACGACCCACCCCTCACATACTCCTATTAGCCTCGATTTGTTTGCAGACAAGAGTAATTGCCAGGCCAGTCTATTTTTCGCAGGTACTGACCAGTCACTTTCCCAACATGCACTGTGTCATTATTTCTATAAGCCACGATTTTTCGGGGATAGGAGGGGCAAAATCGCAGATAACGCCTCGGATAATGAGATCCGCGATATGGGTCCCCAACATTAAACGCACAGTCCTATACTATCATTCTGATTCTGGAAAAAGACTAATGAATACCAAATACCACCTGTGTAGACGATGAAGAGGCATTTGACCCAGTAGAAATTGATGAAGTAATCCAAGTTTTCATAAATGAAGGCCGAAGTGAAAATATTAGAAAACTAAAAACACTGTTTACAAAAATGGAATGGCAACACTTGAATAAGATGAAGCATACTTTTTTTTTAACTGCAAACATGTGAAAGTAAAGCAAAATATTGTGCATCTAGAGGACAGCTTAAGCTTTATTTTTAATTAAATAAAAAAAATGATTTGGCAAGGCGTATGGTTTTAAGATGAGATATGATACATACATCAAGCAAGAGATTCGGTTTACATTTTTCAGAAATCCGATTTTTTGGATATTAGGCTTATTCCAGGACTGTATTTAACATTATTTTATTTAGATTTATTAAATGTGAAGATCTTTCATTGTTTATGCAATACATTTAATAATCCAAATTACTTGAAATACTAACCACTGATTTTTTTATTTTAACATACAGTTCCAACTGTAAAATTTAAATTTTCATGTATTTATAAATTAAGCAAACGTTACATTATGTTACAGCACTTTTGGCAGGAAAGTGTGGCTGTGACATCGTCAAGGTGATGTCACTGCGAAATTATTAAATGTAAATGTGTAACAGGCGACGTTTTGCGCAATGGCTCTTCTTCATAGCGAATCAATTATGTTCTATGAAGAAGGGCCATTGAGCAAAACTTAGCTGATTACATATTTTAAGGCAATGTTATTTCCTAATGTGGAGGGTTTGTTAATTGTACTTGTGCACTACTGGCAATGCAGCATCACCAAATAATTTGAAGTGGAAGTTTAATGTTAAAATATAACTAAAATGTGCATATGTTTGAATGACAAATTACGAGATGTACTATTTACAAATTTTAAGTTCATCATTGCTGAATTATAATTGCAAAGGTTTTAGAAAATCATAAGCTCAGAATTAGTTCATTATTTTGATTAACGCAAAATTAAACAATTTAGTGAAAAAAATAAAAGGAAAACATAATGGGAACGAGGAGCATTGTTAATGTTTATAGCCATAACATGGCTTCATAGACCATCCTAAGGCATGCTGTTTTCCTGCACCACTGTCCACTGGCGCCATGGGTCTACTTGACTGGCGCTTTTTCTTCCCACAGACTCTGCCCACCCTACTTTGGCCTTAGGATGTTTAAACAACCTTATCAGTCCTCCCTAAAATAAATGCATCCATGTGTCAACATTATACAAACACAGCTTTTAATCCAACCTTAATTACTACTGCTGCAAGAGGCCAGAGAGGCAAAAGGTCCCAACTAGTAAGTGTCAGCACTAAATGAGAACTGCTTGTCGAGCCAGCGGGATTGAGCAGGGGGGTAGGTGACAGCTGGTTTTAGGTTTTGCAGGTTTGCAGTGCCAAGAAACCTTAACAGCTGAACTTATTCAAAGTCGTCACGATATGAGCTTGGGTTACATGAATGCATACATCCCAAGGTAAATTATGTAAGCCATTTGCCAAGATGTCACCACCTCAATAATGTGTAGTTTTATTATTTTAACAAGTACCACATCTGCAATGTTAGATGCTGGCCCACAAGGTCACGTGTTCCAAACTTAATTTAAACCAATTTGGATGTTTTTTATTTAATGAATTGTGAAAACAAATTTTTTTTTGCAAAAGTGAAGTGGATAACTGGCTTTTAAAAGTACCAATAGATAAATAATGTGAAAGAGGTCTAAATAAGTGCATATCCCATCAAATGCAAATGCCTGTTAAATATTTGGTGCAGGAGATACTGCAACAGCAGTCGTGGCTCTTGTTGGCATAGGGACCAAACCAAAATACAAATAAACAATTCCTAGAACAGCCCCCAAAGTGCATACACGTGTCTGTCGCGTGGTCACAAAATGTTTATACAGATGAAACCGACCTATCAAATGTTCAAAGCACTTCATCCAGTATCCAGTTACCAAGGTGCGTAGACTTTAATAAAATAAAAGCAAAGTATACTTCATAAATATTGCTACAAATAGCTTAATTGATTTCACAAGAGGATCGTGAAAAAATACATTTTAAATGTAATTTTTTGTTCACAACAGGCAAGTTACTTTTCTTTTCAAGTTATCTTGAAGGAGTATTCTAGTTATATGCTTACAATTACGACTCGCCACGTAACAAGAAATCCATTGAATAGTCAATAATGTGGCTCAGTCGTTCAAGCTACACAGGGCACATGAGAAACCATTTGCAATATGAAAAGTCCAGACCCCTCACTGGATGATGGTAAGGTTTAATATCATTTGATTGAAAATAGCAGTATTGCTGAGACAAAAACAATCTCTTTTTATACTATACAGCATGTATAGCTTTACAAATCAACTAACATTTCACAGATATGAAAAAAAGATAAGTAAGGACATCTATTGGGATGGGAATTGAGGTGAATGTAAAATAATTGTTGGAACATTATTTGTTCAGACCATTATAAGGAATTATGAACGTCTAAGACAATTAATGATTGTCCTCTTGAAAGATAAATAATCTGCAAAATTAAATACACAGTTGTCACTTGCATTCCAACTTACTTTTCTCAGTCGTTTTCCTCCTGCGCCTGATCGAATAGCCGCCATAAGAGCGTCTCTTTCCGTCTCACTTTCAACAGCAGCCGGTATCTTCTGCAGATTTTCACCTGAAACCTAGAATATATTGAAACAACAACCAGAACATTTATGGAAATGTGTACAACGTTTCACATTAGTAAGGTAAATGTTTAAGATAATTCTAATTATACATATGCAATAATAGTTAAAAATGTTCTATAAATACGTTTTAAAATAAATGAATTACACACATTTGCCATATTTATTACAATATTTTAAATGTGACGATGTAGACAAAGTATTCTGACCTTTCTCAATCTGCCCATGTTGTCTGTAGACTGAAGTGCTTCCATTAGGGAATTATGTGGATTGTTATCCTTCAGAATTGGTTTTTGCACCACAGGTTTTAACTTCAGCATCGGTCCAAACAGACCAGTATCTTCACCTGATGGTTTTCTCTGCTCATAAATAAGACTGGGACTTTCCAGTGCAGTTCCAGTGGTATTTAAAACTGTGGGCGGCTGATAGAAAGGACTTGCATCTGTGGATTTTGGAGAACTGAGAACAGACTGAATTTGAGATGAGTTAGACGCTGATTTTACATTAAAAGGGTATCCACTACTTGTTTGAGAAATCACCGGCGGTGGTGACTTGACAGCAAAGACAGTGTTCTTAGACTCTAAATGACTAGACTCTACACTCATGCTAGATGGTTTGTCATCTTTGAATATGACACTTGGGAAACTGACTGGTCTAAATAGTTTTGGCTTCCATTGATGAACTCGTGGTGCCTCAATTATAATCACTTTCCCTGGGTCACCTGGAGCATTTGGAATGTTGGCATTTTCTTCCGTAGAAAACTGTGGTGGTGGTGGAATTATGAGCTCATCCTGTTCACAATTTACCTGAAGTGGTGGCAAAGCATCCACAGGTGTTGTCTTTGTTGTGGTTGTGCCACTGTAAGTTTCATTTGGAGTATCAATGGACTTGTAGGCTGTTTTCTTGGCAATGGCAGATGCCACATAGAGGCTGGAGGTTCTCCTGCCGGGACGGAAAAATGCATCTTGCTTTGAGCTAGATGGTGGAGATGTGGCAATGCTGGCAAGTGGCTCGGTGGCTTTTACAGCAGAGTGTTGCTGAGATATTGTCTCTGGAGTACACTGGAGGGAATGGGACCTCTGGAATGGGCGAGTCACATTTGAGAGCCCTGATAAAGGAGGAATCAATGGTGGGGGAATCAATGGTGGGGGAATTAATGGTGGAGAAATCACTGGTGACTGATGTGCTGTATGTTGTTGTGGATTGGCTGTAATGTCCCTGATCTTCGCTGTAGAGTCATATTTCAACTTTTCTTTGATTTCTTTTGTAGTATCGGTTGCAGTAGCAGTCTCAGTCTTGCTGGCTTCTGTTTCATAAGTTGGTAAAAGGAATGGGACATCAGCTGTTTCAGGTTTTGGTCTTATGACTGGCTTGGAAGGAACAATTCTGTAAGTGGTCAATCCCACTTTAGGAAGGTAATCTCTGGTGATTTCATTTGTGGACCTCCACCGATCTGAAGGCTGCTTATAGACAGGAAGAACTGGAGAAGATGGTTCAGCAGAATTATATTGATATTCAACTTCAGGTACACATGGCTCTCTTGAAATTGATCGTGTCTTGTAAAAAATGCTGTTTTGCATCGAAGCCTCAGGCTCATTTGACTGGTCCATTACTGGCTGTGAAGTTTTATTTATTTCGGATACTTTTTCACTTTTAATGCTTTCTGAAATAATTGTTTTTTCTGATGGTTTAGTTAGCCTTTCTTCTGCAATAACCTTGAAAACTTTGTTTGGTTCAACTATTTCTTCTCTAGCTCCTGCAATTTCTTTATGGATTTCTACTGGCTGGATCATTACTGACTCTTCCACGTATGTCATGTATTTTTGTGTTACCAGTTGTTTTTTATACTGTTCGGATGATGCATTCTGTCGTTCCGCAGGTATACTCTTTACTTGCTTGTCCACAGATTTGGCATGTACTACAGGGATTTTCTCCACATGCGCATTTAGAAAGGTTTCATTTTTAACAGGCATTTTATCTAGACACTTTAGGCTTCCTCCATGCCTTTCTGCCCTGCTTAACTCACTATTTGGTTTGGTGGATATGTCAGGGAAAGCCATAGATAACCTTTTATGTCTGGGGTCTTGTTCACCCACTACACAACCAGATGCTTTTGCAGTGGCCCCAGAAAAAGACCCACAAAGGGTAGGTTTGGATTTATGGTCACGTTGCTGGGCCAAGGCAGATTTCTGAACCTTGGCAAGAAAGTCGACTTTTACTTCATTACCATCCTTTTTCTGAGTAACAGGTGGCTTATCAGAAACCTGTTGCACATTTCCAGCCTTGTTTTTATCAGCTGCTTCCCTTTTTTGCATATCATTATAAGCTTTGAGAAATTGCAAAGCTTTTTTTGAAGGTCCTCTTTTGACATCTGTTGCCACATTGGCATTTGCTGATAAAACAGGATACTTTGTCTCGTTGTTTATATCTACTTTATCAGTATTGTTGGAGCTGCTGTCTGCAGTGGCTTTTATCACTGTTGAATCTGGAAGGGCTGGCTCTGGCTTTTTAACCGGCTCTACAATAAAATTAACGTCAGCCTCTGCTTGAATATTTTTTACAGTCTCCACATTGGGGTGACTACTCTTAGACCTCAAGTCATCATCTGCAAACAAGACAAAAGCATACATTTTATATGATGTTTAAATCACAAATGCCACACCAATTATGCCACGTAAATATTTCAGAAAATGGTTATATTATCACTCATTTGCTTTTCACTTCTTGCATGCTTTATGAATAACACTGAATTTTGTCACATGTTAAGTATTGTGCTATATTGTTCTTATTTCCATGACTAACCATTCTGTGTATAAAAGCACTCACCCGTCAGCCCCATTTCAAGTTCAGCAATTAACTCATCGAATTCAGCAGTTGCTGCAGCATCAGTGTTAGCCTGTACCAGGTCTGATGAATATTCTTGCACCATGTTATCAGCTAAGGCGCTGCACCAACATTAATAAACAGCACAAATTACATAGGAAACGTGTTCTTTTAGCATAACAGGACACTTGACATTACAAACTGAGCATTTCAACGCATAAAAATTAAAATAAAGCAAAGTGTCACGTGTAAAAATAGCATATTTGTTCGAAGAGCAATGGGTTGTGATGCCTTACTGGGCTTGCTGAGATGCGCCACAGAAAGTCTTCTGTGTCTCAGACTTGGCGGTGGTTCCTTGTTCAAGCCTACGGGGTGCCGCTTCAGGCATGCACTGTTGCTTTGTGACATTGGAATCACTGCCCATTCCACCACCCTCGTTCAAAGTTTTTTCTACAGCAGTAATAAATGTCAAACAACATATAAATAAGGTCCATTAAACATTGTGGATATGAACACCATAATGTACTTCAAAACGTTGAACAATGCTTTTTTTACGAGTGATGTGAATCCATTTTCTCAGACAAAGGTGCAAGTTCACACAAACGATTATGGTATGTAAGAGCACTTGGGGGGAAAAAATCGGGTTATTTTCATTTATGTCTTCAATACCACAGATATTTCTTATTAAAACCACAAAATGTGAAGCATATAGTATTTTTGAACACAGACGAATGCCCCTTGTTTCACCGTACTGTTTCTGCATCTCCATGAGCAAGTATTTGCAACCAATGGATTTTCTCCGACATATATGTGTCATCAGTGCGCAGGTGTTTTGAGAAAAGTAAACAGCGAGGCAATATTTATACTGCAAGGCTGTGGCTCCATGAATGACGCAAAAAGACGTTCCCACCGTAATCTCAGGCATCTGCTCTGGGTTTTGTGTGAAGTTTTTGTTAAACAAAAAGAGCTTTTGGCCAACAGAAGACATATACTGTACAACAACCAGAATAAACACCATAGCCAAAGATTATATCTGGTGAGAACAGACTTGCTCAATGTACAAATTGTGGATGAAAGAGTCACTTACATGAGCAGTAAGCAAGAGTATTAGTCCAACATTGGCAGAAGAAATTGCTTGAGAGTTTTTAACATAATAAACATAAACTTGTATACACATTTGAAATTTGATTTGTGCAAGCTTTCAGAATTTACATGTTATATTTTAAATCAATAATGCTTTCATCAAAAGCGCAACTGATTAGCACCTCACATTATCACGTCTGGCTACGTACGGCGCGAAATAATTTCAACAAACATACATTAAATATTTTTTAGATACAAAAGAATGTCACGTTAATGTCAAACATACAATGTTTGACTTGTTTGTCCATTGGAAATCCAAATTCCAGTTTTACAAAACATCGTCAACAAATAAACAATAAGGTACAATGTTGTTTAGAACATAGGTAGCCAATGAAAGTAAAAAGTAGAGCACTTGGTGGAGCATTTAAGAGCTTAAATTCAGAAATCTATAACATGCAAACATATGGGTATACTCACACTACCACTTTAAACAAGTTGAAAATGTTACGTTATAAGCACCACAATTGCCGTTTAAACAAAGATTCACAGTTCAAACATAAGTTATGTGCGTGTTCAACATATGTATGAACAGTTGAAAAGATATATCTTATGAAATTCCACGAGAGATGTTTGACAGCCAGTTATATGTGCAAGCCAAATAAAAGAGAAAAAAGCCAATGGTTGTCCTTGTAAAAGAGCTGCTTAGCTCAATGGGCTTTACCAGCTGAAATAAAGTTAGTCTGAATTTGCATGGAACATATGTAAAAGAATACTATGTAAATCATAAATTAGATTTTTTTTTTTGTATTTTGGCAGGCTGTTTGCACCACAGCCTTTCAGAATTTTCATGGAAAATGAGGACCATGAGGGTAAAGGACTTTAAAAAGATCCTTCATTTAATCCACACACTTTAAAAGGAAATGGTGCCCCTGCTGCAAGGTTATGCAGTTGTTTAACCTTGTCAGCATTATTCTGCAGTATGAAAGTCAATTTTATATCTGAATTAACATGCCTAAAACTTTTAATAAATAACATATTTTATGAAAGTAGTGCAATAATTAGCCAATTGTCGGCACATGATTACAATTTTGATCACAAGATATCTAAATGAGCAACCATTTAAAGATAGTTTATTGGATTACAATTACTTGTGGCCTTCATACTGCATATACAGCCATCTATTCCAATGAAGCCATGCATTTTACAGCTCACTGCAATGATTACCTGCTACACCGCGTGACACACATCTGGCTTGAAATGGAAACGGGGTGTGTGTACTATTGTTGAATAGCCGTGTGGGAACACAAGTGGGTGCAGCAGTGCGGTATTACGAGGAGCTACACAGACCCTCCTCACCTGATGGAACGGCATGAGGAGGTGCAGGGGGTGGAGCGGTCGGCTCAGGAGGAGGAGGAGGGTATGGTGGAGGAGGGGGTGCCTGGAACTGTGGAGGATCCCGTGCGATGCCGGGTGGCGGCGAGGTGGGAACGACGGGAGGTGGGGACGCCTGGGACCCGCGTGGGGGTTTTACAGGTGTAGGCCGTTCACTTACTCCTAAGGTTGTGGCAACATTAATATTGATGAACACACGGGAGTACACGCCAATGTGAATTGTTTTGCAGTATATTATTGTGAAGATAATAATGTAAATTCACACACGTGACACATCGTATGTAGAATGTACAATAATTGAGTTATTTGTGTTAACATGTATATACATCACACGGGACTTTCAGGCTGTGAGAAAAAAAGTTCCCAAAGTAAACTCAAGGCAAATTTATTTTGGAATATTTCCACAGAAATTACTTTATGCAGATATCGTTTAACATTTGTTGTGGCCCTAGCTGCTACTCAACTAACACAGACGCCACAATGTACAGTATGCAAAAAGTTGTAGCAGCATTGGTTATTGTTATATAATGTTTTTAAAACTATTTTCAACTAAATATTTTAAACCAAAATAATCTGCAGGAGCGGACACAACTTAGATTACCAGCCTATGAGAGCAGTGCCATAACTGGAGTGCTACTGGAGCACTCCAAAGAATTTCCAATTTCAAAGGTGCCCAGCCAACTGGCGGGCACAAGCCCATCGTGTCACCAACTCATGTGTCCTGCTTGCACGAGTAAATTCACAAACGCATACCCACAAACCCAGGTGTCCGGTGGATGGACGCTCATCGGGCGACTAGCACCCGAACAAATGTTATGCAACACTTACTCAGACAACAAAATGCTTACGTTCCAGAGATGGCCACCCCAGAAGTTAGACCAGTGTCCAACCACAAATACTTGGCATAAACTACCACATTCAAGATAGCCAATATTAGCTTTTGGGGATCAAAATGCCAAACCTCTTTTACAGAGGTAAATGCCAATATCAGGGTGACTTTCCATACTATAAATGCAAACCTCATCGAGGCTATGGGCTCAAGTCGAGTCCCCATGGACAGCATCAGGGACTATGGGCAACGTAAAACCAAATGCAGTGTATCTTAAAAAGGGCCCTTTTGTGGAATATGTTAATTATTGGGTGAGACGGTTGCCCCCCTGATCTTTAAACAAAGCCACAAATACAAGTCGCTCTATTCTGATGGCGGTTGGCACAAGGACTTTCTAGAATTCGAGAATCTTGGGGATCTAGCACTTCCAAGGGTGACTACTACGTTCCAATAAAATAAAAACAGTACCCTTAATCGATACACATTCGGCACATATTATTAATATTGTCCATGGTGGCATCTGCGCAAGTATAATTTAAATATTTACCTTCTTTATTTTCATCCTTTAGCGGTAAGCTCCCAGAACTTTGAGTGGAGGCTGGGAAAAACAAAACATGTCCATACATATGAATGGCATTCATTAGCATCAGCAAATTTGACTTACCCATAACTGGCCAAGTGAATTCATTTAAGGTTCAAACAGCAGCTGGCTGTTAATATAAAACATGTTATTCAGTTATGAACTTCTAAACACTTGTCCGGGGAATTACTTTTTGTTCCTGTCCGAACATCTAAGATGTAAGCATAATGTATAAACTTTCAATAGAGCCAAAGTACAGCCACGCACGAGTAATTGTAAGAGTGCATCACCAACGACAGCATAAAAAAACATGAAAAATTGAATGCCAAATAATAACATTTGCGACGAAAGGTAGACATCGTCACGTGACAGTTATAGGAACTAGGAGCAAAGCACAATGTCTTTAGGCCGAGATGCAATCTGCCATTTCAGTGCAATCAATATGGGGATGACCATATTGTGTTGGATTGCACCACATGAATTGCAAGAAAATGTCCGAGTTGCAACACTATGCAAGTAAGTACAAAGTGCTACCACAGAGGATGGTATGAATCGGAAAAACAAGAAAGACACACATCTGCACACATGTAATGTAGCTCTGAGAGACGCCGTCTTGTCTTCCGTATATTTATGAAGAATAAAGTCCAATAACAACTCAACACGTAACACGAGTGATTCTGTACACTCGGGTGATGAGACAGAACCACTCGGGAGACATTCTCGCTTCCAAGCTCCAGACAACTTGCAGACGATGGAGACGACCCGATTCCAGGTGACGACGACGGCAGTTCCCCACACCAAGCTGCCACTCGTGCTGCCATTTATGCTCGCCCGCTCCAGCCACACCCTCAGTCTCAATCCTCCTCACCTCACCTGGCCCTGCCGCTCACGTCCTTCTCACACTTCCCCACCATGAGATCCCGTCTCGTGAATCCTCATTAACTCGTCCATTAGTAACACTTCCCCCGCCATTGGATCCCAGCTCATGAATCCTCATTAACTCGTCCTTCCTCGCCATTGGCTCCCGTCTCATTAATAGCTCGTCCATTAGTAACCATGGTCCCCGGGGAGCCACACTGTCCCGATATCGCTCCGCACTGTCATTACACATATACACACACGTGTGTATATACAAGTATGTGTGTGCATCCACACACAAGTATGCATTCATGCACACACACATTAATATCCACACCCACAAACACATAAGCTCCTCCATTTAGCCTTTTACAGAATGTTGAGGCCAATATTATTTGGGAGTACCTATGAAGGCCGGAACAGTGTACGAGCAGGTGGTGTGGCCAGAACCACGGCAAGCTACATTTGTTGTTCCAGTGATGATGTTCGCACACGACACCAGAACTCATTTGCAGGCTGAGTCAACATAGGGAAGGCCTCAGACTGATACAAACATCACTTGACAATGATGTTAGCTGTGGCTGGGAATTTAATTCAGGTTACTGGATTTATAGTGCAGTGCAATAACCACTCTGCTATCGATCCCAAAATACATGCATGCACGCACACATACATATACATAAGTACTCACATACACTCACTCAAAATCACATATATACATATACACGCTATCTACATGCTCACTAGACCAACTTGCTCACTGATTGGATGACTGTTGGATTGTGATGCCACCTGACTAAAAAAACACAACTGACAGCACGCAACCCCCATCACAACACATTGCATGGCATGATGCCATTGTGCGGCAATTTCTGTGTAATCTATCATCCGTTTTACTGGCCATCTGTGAAAATGAGCTTCATAGCTCATCGGATTCCTCCAGTCTAAATAAAGATTCTGATGGCACCAAAATTGCAAAGTGTATCTCTTCACAATAAAAAAATAAATCTTGTTTGGTCGATGAACAATTCATTCCTGCCAAATCTCTTCAACATAATTTAATATTGCTTGTGAGGACATTAAACCCCAACACATTACTGGGTAGGCATTTTAACATTCCACGACTTCACTCTTCATTAAGCATAACAATGATAATGTATTCTATGTCCTCAAAAATAAGTCGCCAATTACATATTTCACATTTTCATCATATTATAAAGGTGCTTTGACTGACGACAGATATAGTGGGACTCAAAAGGCAAATGCCATAGGAGCAGAGGTCTTGTTGAAAGAAGACAGTTGAAGCCAAACAAAACTGCATGCACAATTGGAACATGTTTGCTTACCTTCTCCCCTGTGTAAACATGATCTTGACAAATCGGCTAGGTGATGATTAAGTTAAGGTATTGTGCCGAAGCAATTCTACTGCACTAAAAGCAATGGAATTTCACTTTTGCTCCCCAAGATGCTTGCAGGTTGTTACCAACACTAAACGAACAGAAGCTGTTTAAACATACTTTTTCGATTAAATAAAAATGTTGGTTGATGGCACAGCTAAAATTCCCACATTTGAACAGAGCCAAAAGCGCTCCATCGCAAAAAATGAATCAGTCTTGAATCGATATAACTATAAGAGCACTTGATAAAAAAAAAAATCGAAGTTGAAAATGTGAGCACGTGAGAGCTCACCTGTGGAGCTGCTCCGCCTTCGATGCTGGTTCTCCACGCTTGGCTGCACAGGAGGAGGGGATCCAGGCTGAAACAACGCTGCCGAGGCCTGTTCTGGGGCAGATCTCGGAGGTGGCGACGGCGGCGACTCGGCGGCGACCTGCATACCCTGGGCGGTTGTGGATGGGGGAGGGGGAGGTGCACGGCGCTTGGTGCGATGCTGCAGCATGGCGAGTGGCGACGTAGCTCCAGCGGCCTCAGTCGAAGATGAGGCCAATGGTGCAGGGGGAGACTGGCTTCTTCTGGTCTCCTGTGCCAGGCACAGCTGGTCTGGAGAGCTCTGAGCAAGAAACACAAAGTTGTCAAGAGATATCCAACAAAGCCAAACCTGTCTCCAGCACAATACCGTACAACTATTTACAAATGGTGGTGTGTTATGTAACAAAGAACTTTATACTGGTAGGAACCTCCTGGTTACACCAGCCCACAGGGGATTATTGTGTCCATCGTGCAGGGTGGGGCTGGGTGTGGAGGGAGGGGCTGGGTGGGGAAGGAGGGGATGGGTGGGGAGGGTGGGGAGGGGCTGGGTGGGGAGGGGCTGGGTGGGGGGGGAGGGTGGGGAGGGGCTGGGTGGGGAGGGGCTGGGTGGGGCTGGGTGGGAGGGGTGGGGCTGGGTGGGAGGGAGGAAGGGGTGGGGCTGGGTGGGAGGGGTGGGGCTGGGTGAGGAGGGGCTGGTCACCCCGTGGTGCCCTTATAAAACTCAACGTTGAACCTACTCACGCCGGCTTGTGCCCGCCCTCACATTCAGGCATATTTGCGGAATACACCACGCCGCCGTTGACCGTGGCCATTGACCGAGCAACCCAACGTTCCTACGAGCTCCCTCCGCAGGAATGTTTTAAATCCAAGACCTAATTCGTTTAAATGTGTTTTTTTGAGAGAGGTTAGGAAGTGACGAACGTAAGTTAATAGAACTATCGCTAAAATAACCGTACATGTCATAGCTATTGGCCAAACATCCTCATGCAGGACCCTCTTGAATAAGAGTCTTCAGACTCAGTGCGACATTCCTGAATATGTAATTATTCTTACTAATGTAATACATTGCCATGCTGGTCAGTGGAGATTGGTGAAGTATGATGAATTTAAGTGAAATTTATATTTTTGAATGATGTGAAATATTAGATAAAGAGGAAAAAAGAAGTAATCGATTTCAAAGAACATCTTTTATTTCATGATACTCAGCTCGAGTATCATGCCAATAATGGAAGCTATTTATATACCAGAGGCTACGTTATTGGTTGGCTATGCACGATGTGAAAGACGTTATACTGCCAATGCATTAAACATGTGCAGTATTACAATAAAAGAACATGTAAATGACACAAACATTTTGAAGCAGCCTGAGAAGGCTTCATAAGCTTGTTTTTGAAGTGTGGTTTTGATAACAATTTTGTTAACAAAGAAAAGAGATTAAGTAACTAAAGCCTTAGCTTTATTTTATATGTATATATCCATACCGTGACTGTACAGCGAATGTAAGCTAACAATGGAATTACCCTCTCGTTACCCAGATCTGCAGTGTTTGGCACGATACTGCACAATAAAGTTCATGCCAAACAACCCTCACCCCTCGTGATGTAGTGCTGCTCAACGAGCGTTTGCCGATGTGCTTCAATACCCATTCAGTCACCTACATGTTTGCACAGCATTAGAAGGCTCTGAACATTATTCAGCATGATATAGCTTGAGCTGCAGCAGTATTTAGAGGGGGTATTGTATAGTTATGTTGGAATAGCACGATAAGTTATGTCATGCTTATACAGGGGGGTGGGTTGCATGTACCTCCAGGATTAAAGTGCTGTTTGTTCAGCCAATGTACACAGTCAAAGCAGAAAAAGATACTGTACTGCACTTCTATTTTACTTTTTTTATGTCACCGTTGAAAAATTTTGCTGGAGGGCAAATATAAGAGGTATTTTATTAACACCTCGCAACATAAACAAAAGTCAGCTCACAACTCATCTATGGCACGTGGGGAAATAAAGGTTCCTTTTTTGCTGGTGGACCCATGCACATTTTTTTTACTACCTTACTTTTAAGAGCAGCACAACAATAGCGTAGGTTATTAATAATTTCCAAAAAGTCAAGAAAAACGATTAACCACAATGGATGGTAAAAATAAAAGTTCATTAAAAAAACTTAATGTCATATAAATCGAAAAAAAGCTTTTAAAAACAGGATTGCTAGTGGTCAGCAATGATAACATCTACCAAAGTATTACTCATCACTCACTTTTTTTCTGATGGGTGGGGCAAGTGGCACCTGGCTACATGGCCCCACCCTACTACTGAAGTGCAAAGGCCTACGTGCTACAATGTAGTGGGTAGGGAGATATGCTGCTACGAAGTTTTCTGCGTTTAAACTAAATACGAGAGTAATTGTAAGAGAGCAGAGTGCCACACATTCAAACATATGTTGAAATTTGGACTTAAAACTGCACCAGTCTCAGTTTGTGTCACGTTCTGTAAATAACAAACTGGAGAACCCACATTGATCTTGGCATTAAGCATGCACACGCTTTGAATTGAAATGTACATTGTACTGTATGCATACAACATTCATGTAATACGAATGCATTACCTGCAAATGATCCCGACACACCTGCTCGAAACCGCTATCCTGGCTGCCAGGCGAGATGGACGGAACGTTTTCTTTGTCTTTGTTTGGCTCTCCGTCCTCAGGGATGGGTGTGGTGGCCAGGGGGTTGGTGGGTGAGACAGGGGGTGCTGGGGCCCTCCGCTTCCTTGGTCCTTCGGGGCACACCGACACGCCGTAGGGCCCCTTGCTGCCGCCACCACCACCGCCACCGCCACCGGGCAGTGTGCCCAACATAGGGGAGGGCACGCACGGCATGCTCATGGGTCGCTGATGGTGCTGCTGCTGCCCCATTAATGGTGTTCCAGGCATGGAAGTCTGTGGAAAACGTTGACAAGTTAGGCAGTGTTTAAATATAAAACTACAAGTGCTTTTGGCTTGCATCAACTGGGACCATGTTACATCAAGAACTTTGCATTTGCCGACTCGATGTCTTAAACCAGTGGTTATCAATCTTTTTGAAATGAAGGCCACCCAATTAAGACCGATGGTCCCCACACCTCCTGTCCCAAAAACACAACTTAGTGTCCAAATGCCACGATAGAGAGATCATCTATCGATGAGGCCTCTAGTCAATGGGTTGGTATGGCATTTATTTCATGTTGTGTATTGGTGTTTTGTTGCTGCAAATATGGCGATGGCGTTCCTCTTTGCACATGATAAATTTATCCTGCACGGTATTCATGCTACAGCCTGCACCCCCCTTGAAAGTATTTTGTGCTTCCCATAAAGGGGCATACCCCCCCCCCCCGGGTTGAGAACCACTGTATTAAACTGTTAAATAGTACATTGTAATAACTATATGGATTTCTGCAGTCATGGAAGCTTCAAATCAAGATTGTAATAACTGTTAACATATATACGCAAAAACATTTTGCACCAACAATTTAAATGTGTATTGAGTGACACCTACAGCAACCACGATACATCTGCATTAAATAAACTGATACATTTGAATTTAAACATTTCAAAAGTAAATCAAGGTATGTGATGAAAGTAAACATAAAGATCAGCTGTAATTTAATCATATGCAACAATCCTGTTGTACAGTGATCACTGAATTAACAGTACTGACCTCAATTTGATCATTCACAACATCAATGGAATCAGCATGAATCATACGATACAACTAAATAGATTGCTAATGCTTCCAAAGGGGTGCACTGTCAGGTAGATTGGTCTAAAACATGTTTTGCCAGTGAAGAATTTCTGGAAAGTTGTTGTTTTGCAAAATCATTCAATTGACACCTGTCCACTAGATGCAACTATTTTCACTAAAAGGGGTGGGGGAGTATTTAGATTTAAAGCTTTCGTGAGTGCAGGGATTCATATTCTTGGTTCTTTCGGTAAAGTCAAGTAGAAGGGAAATAATAAAATAATAAAATATAAACCAATAAAATTCTCACGACGTTTTGACTGCAACACAAGCAATCATGATCTTGCTGTGGATTTCACACCTGATGATGATTGCTTGTGTTGCAGTCAAAACGTCGTGACAATTTTAGTGTTTTATATTTTATTATTTCCCTTCTACGTGACTTTACCGAAAGAACCAAGAATATGGGGGGGGGAGTATACAACTTATTCCACCAAGATAACTTGCACACATTCTGAAAATGGCATGAACTGATTTAGTTGATAACTAAAATTATTTTCCGAGATGATTGTAACAATAAAGTGAACCAGAAAACAAAGATAACGAACTATAGGACTACACTGCATAACAGTACAAAATATATACAATTTAGTGTTTAGATTCTGACCTTATAAGCTCCCCACAAAATATCAATGCCACATTTTAAAATGTAAAAAGGGTAATTATGAGTGTTTTATTATAAAATGTCTTTCACATTGGATTATAAGGTCGGCATAAGGGGAAATTATCTTTTTCAACAGTTTGATGTGCAAAAAAATGCGTAACATTTTAATGACACAGTCTGCTTTAGCTTTGAAGCTATGATATCATGCTGACAGGTTTAACGGTTTTTTTGCCAAAGGCTTCTAAACATCAAAGTAAACTATTCATCCTCCACATACATGCCGAGTTGAAGCTTTAATTTTAATCATAACACCATAATTCAAGACAGTTCTTCAAGGGCAACTGAGTATTAAAAGTGAACAGGGTTAGCGCTCAAAAGTGATTGGCCTGTGTGACATTTACTGCTGTGAGCACAAGCATGAGGAACGATTTTCTGTTAGCACTGCTGTTAGTATCGTTAGCAGGGCTGTACACAGCGTTAGTACTTACGTCTCTGCTACTGTCACCATGCATTGAACTGTTGGAACCACACTCGGAAACATCATCATCACTCTGGGAAAGCCATAGCAGCAGAAAGAGGACATGACATACGGGTAAGCAAAGACAGCAAAAACTCAACAATGCGCACGGGGGAGTTGTTAGAATAACCAAAAGAGCTAGAAGTAGCCAGTTACATGCGTTAGTATCAACAGCAAGAAAATGTCCCAACAGCATTCAAAGCAAGCTTCTGCATGCAACATGTTAGTATATTCAAATATAAGCGAATATAAAAAAGCAAATGCCTCCACAATACATTTGAACTATAAACACACCAACTTGTTCCAAACATGTCTCCGTGTATCTACATATTACACTCATCTCGATAAGAGAATAATAGACCATTTAATCAAGTTACAAGAGAACACCACAGCAAGAAAAACATTGCTCAATTGCAAATACACAGGGGTACAAGCATATTTCGTATTTACCTTCTTTTTCTTTGGCCGCAGAAAGCTCAAAAGCCCTTTGTTTTCTTTCTCAGGAAGGTCTGTGTTGTCGTTAAGACCATGGCTCAGCTCTGTAATACAAAGACAGCTACTCAATACATCCACAGGTGATGGTTTCCATTACCTGAGCGTTAATACGCATCTAGCAACGGGGATGACACACAGTGCATTCGCTTCGCAGTGAATGGTCCATAGCTTTGCCAATGCAATACAAAGTTAAACGAAGTAAGCCTTTCAGTACGTGGTCTATTTTTATTAATTGTACGAAACTTGAAAGCATAGAAACTTTAAATTGCAAAAGGTGTGCTATTTTAATACACGTACCAAAATGATTGATTTGTTTATTAAATGTTTATATAAACATGCATATTACACCATACGTGTGTATATGAATTTCAAGTACACCTCTACAGAGCGTTCACATTGTTCACTGTAACATTACTTCTCCACTAGATGGCAGGATTGTAAAAAAAACTATCTTTTACACTTATATTCTTGGTTCTTTCGGTAAAGTCACGTAGAAGGGAAATAATAAAATATAAAATTCTCACGACGTTTCGACTGCAACACAAGCAATCATCAGCAAGTGTGAAATCCACAGCAAATTTTCTTGCAAATTTTCTAGCTGTAGATTTCACACCTGATGATGATTGCTTGTGTTGCAGTCGAAACGTCGTGAGAATTTTATTGTTTAATGTTTGTATTATTTTATTATTTCCCTTCTACGTGACTTTACCGAAAGAACCAAGACTATGAATCTCTGCAGTCACGAAAGCTTTAAATCAAAATATCTTTTACACTTGAATTAGTTACCCACAGGGTGGCGCTGGCGGCACACACATGCAGCAAAACACGCAGCAGAGAATGTCGCTGGTTGTGCAAAGGGGTTGAAACATGCAGACCGTCACGGAAACCATGGAGTTGTCCAAGCACGTACATTCTTAGCCTCCCAAGCCATTATTAATGCCGCCAAGAAGTCAGTTTACCCACATGGTGGCTGCACATGGGACATGTAAACATTCCGTGCTCGATTCCAGCAGCCAGCAAGCCCAAACATGCAGCTCATAAACTCACACACACACACACAAAGCATGAACAATCCTCTGCATTGTTATGCATGGGTGGCCAAAGGAACGACAAAGAAATCCAATCACGGGGTGCTTTAGGTTCGAAGCCAATTTATGCGCTTTGCCTCCTGCTACAAAAAAGCACGAGGCAGAGAGAGACTGAGAAGAGTATGCTGGGGGACTGATTTCAAGCAATGCTCACATCAGCATCAACTGGAGATATTTGAGCAAGTACCATGTGCATTATGTACTTTTTAAAATGTTAGTAGTTATGAACACTATTAAAAGTAGGCACAGCAACTAGAATAAACTTTACGAGACCTCTACGTGGATAGCAAGGCCATGGTAGCGGGGGTATCGAAACTGAAAGTCAGATGACTAAGGGCATATTTCCAGGACACTGACGACAAGTAAAATACCTTGAAACCCAAAAGATACTGAAGAACCCGTGCGATGATGTCTGAAAACTTTAGAGGTGAAAAAAAGAGTAGAATATCATACATAAAAACTTCAGAAGGTGCACACAGTTTAAACCATCACCACATGGGGTCACGATTCCAAATGAAATGTAATAATGATAAAAGTATGTGAAAGGAAGACAAATGTCATTGCATTTGGAATCTCAGAAAAACAAATCTATAAACATATAGACTGTACATCATAACGATTGAAATAAGAACAGCATTATTTCCAGATATATCAGGGTAGTGTGGAAAGCATCAAAATGAAATGTAAAAAATATATATTGCATGATAATATAAGAAACATTTACGAGTTATATATCGACCAGTAATGTACAAAATATAGTCACAGATAAACACATAGCACATATATACAGACGTCTAAAACTAATTGTTATCTTAAAAGTCATACTGATTAAATAAACAATTCTAGGTCAATAACCAGGAGGTTCTATTGACAAGTCTAAAATATCTGCAGGGGATAGTAGGCTTTAAGCCAGCCTTATAAAGGACCGCAGTGATAAAACAACGATTTTTTTTTATCAGCTCAAAAATAACATTAAAAACCTTTGCTTCTGTCGACGGCGTACACCTCCTTGATACCGAGCTCAGACAGCGAGCACGACATATCGAGCAGCTCCGTCTCGCTGGCGTCCCGGAACAGCGTGGTGAGGGGGACGTTAAACTCGCACTTGTTGCAGATTTCGGGCAGCAGTGCTTGCAGGGCCACACGTGGGCTAACCCGAACCATGGTCTTCTGCGTTCGCAGGTAGTTCACCATCAGCCGCACCGTTTGCTGAAAAAAAAAACCAAGAGATTTGAGTAGAGGATCGACGAATTGAATGCTGTAGTTAAAAATCCCGTCTTTGTTTACCCTCTTAGGACCCAGCTGTCCATGTTTATCAAATTTCTCCATTTAAAAATGACATACTGGGCTAGGCTATGGATTAAGGGGGACTAAAACTGGGTTACACTTGTCTGAATTACAGTATAAAACCTCACGATGTGCTGTAGTGGAGGTACATTGGGACAGGAAGCCCACCTCTTCACACAAATTACAATGTCATTGTATTTGTCTCTCACCCAATGGGCCTTTGCCTTTGCAGGAAAACTCTGCACCAGTTTCGACCTTTTGGATGTCATCAGCAAAGGCCCTTTTAAACTAATGCTGTGTTTCCAGCTGTTATGAACAACAGCACCATTAAAGCTATGGGGGATTCAGCAGCAAAAAACAGAAAAAAACTATACACAAACTCAGCTTGTGGTGGAGGATCATGGGTAATGAATGCATAATAAACAGACTGAAAAATAATGTTTTGTCTTTCTGTTCCCCCCTTGTACTGTGACCGGTGCTCTGTACTGGGCTTGTGCTTAGTCGCAATAAAAACCTTTTTTTATGATGTTTCATCCATTCTGCCTATGGACCTTCCAGACCAATATTTTCCAGCAGTGCAGACAAACCATGATTTCAGAAAGTAAGCTGGTTTCGAATTTCTGGGTCACAATGCTACTGTGTAATACTCCATATAGCCTGGATTACAGGATGCATGCATTTGTACCCCTGGGGAGAGCATGGAACTAAGCAAATTAATCGTGCAACTTATATGATTCATAATAAAGGTTTTTGGGTCAGATCGCATTATTTCTAAATGTGCCGTAACCCTCCACCACCCTACACGGCCAAACAGTAAAAAATGTGTCACGTTTACAAAAGACACTACTTTAGCCCACCGGTGTGTTGAAGAGTGAATCAACATCATTTACAATTTTGAGTACGACGTTTTGCTAGTAATTACATCCAGCATCATCGGGCAATTTGCCAGAATGGTGAAGCCCTCCACTTGCTCCCGGTCTTAAATAGAGCAGCACGGTGACGTCATCATTTAACCCAATCTGGTGCAGTGATTTGAGGCGGAGAGAGTATTGTAATTATATAATAGATTGGTAATCATTCAATTGTTATTAATTAGTATTTGTTTCCCCTATAAGGAATTGTAATATATATTTTATTTAATAAAAAGGGTTACGACACATTTATAAATAACGCGATCTAAACCCCAAAATCTTTATTATGAATATTGGTCGCGAAAGCCGACGTGTTAAACTTGTATGATGAAAATAAATGCACCAAAGGTTTTGTGTCTGTATCCAGCTATATACCTCTGTGTCTAGTATACAATAAACAACCATCACAAGATCAAATCTAAGACATTTTGTCATTTGCTAGAATAGCAACTAAAGTACCCTGGCCTCTGGTACAACTGGGCCTTCACAACATTTACATACTCACTAAACAATCAAAACCAGCCTCTGATCCTGGTATACAATGCAAAGCCACCACCTTGTTCACTGATCCCCAGGATTAAAGTAACAGGAGTTACTAAGCATGCTTAAATTCTACTTCAGACTAAGCAATGCAGAGTAGAATTGGAAATACGTAATAGATTTGGATATCATAGAAAACACAACATGTCTCTAATTACCAATATCTATGCATACCTCTGTTTAAGAGCATTTCATTATTTGAATTGAATTGTACTTGTGTTGGTGTCAATAAAGTAGGAAACATGAAAACAGTTGCATAAAACTATGACAGTATAGGCTAACCTGCTATAAATCAAAAGTAAACACATCTACGCCTCTATATAAGGGACGAAACAGAAAAACTTCTCCACAAATCTGGCTGTCGCCTGATGAAGCTAGTTGTAATTACTGGCAAAACGTCGTACTCAGTTTGTAAATGTTGTGGCTTGGCTCTCCAACACACCGGTGTGCTATACTAGTGACGAATTGGCATGTTCTGTTTACGTGACAACCATTACTAGTTGGCTGTCGGGTGGTGGCGGGTTTTAAAAACATATTTATATATTTACGCGATCTAACCTAAAAACCTCTATTATGGATGATATTGGTCGCCAAAGCCTACGTGTTAAACTGATAAACTTTAACTCTGCCTGACCACAATCCCACAAAACAAACATTGGGGTTCAATGTTGCTGCATCTTAGCCCTTCGTATTCATAAGACTGCCAGTCCCTTTTCCAATTGAAATCTTACTCCAACATTTCACATATTTCAAGAGTATATTTGACTGCCTCATTACTTGGTAAATAAGTCCATACCATATTTAAAGATTTAACAACAAAAAGCATTGTATACTTTTCGAAGAATACTTCAACTTTGCACAGAAGAACAGAATGGTACAACCCTCTTTTCTCAATAAAACCAAAAATACTTTGATCTAAAAGCAATCCATCCTTTTCACTGAATGCAAGTGAAAAATATAATTGCAGCCGCTGAAGTAACGAACGGAAATATTTTCCTTTACAATAAGGTTGCAATGTTTATGCAAGATGCTTAAAAGTACAAAAACATTTATTTAAATAAGAATGTTTGTATAGCATATTCCACCCATGGATACGTATTATCATCATCCTCATCATCATTGAGAATCAATTTTCTACTGGTAGAATGCTAAGTATAGCCTGGTAAAAACATGATCTGCAGGCGAACTGAGCCAAAGGAAAATGTAGTTGTAAATTGGCGGGTAACACCAACCGGTGCATCCAGTGAGGCATGACGTTATAATGGCATTTCATCATGTTTCATTAGTTAAGCTACCAAAATCCAACCAATCCAGTCTCACAAATATTTACATTCATAAGTACATATGACCGAAGGCTCAAGGTTTCTGATAATACTCATCACATGACGGTGTAGTCAGTAGCATGCGTGCAAGCTTCAGAAATGAATCCAGCACATTGTCACAAAGGTCAAATCGGAGAGCCATATATAACATGGTAATCCTCAAGATGGACCCTAATCCAAACTGCACAAAATCCTTTAAATGTAACAACACATGAGACTTTCTACAAAGTGTAAACAAGCACTACACTCTCGAGGAAATATGTGTGAAAGACGCGTAATGTAGAAGCTAACCAATTGAGGCAATGACGTCTAAAATATACACACCTAGCTCAAAGTGTAGTTTTAACTCTTATAATTCATCTAATAATAATAGTTATTTGCATGTATGTGTGAACTGGGCCAATTTGCTCACATGGCCATTTTCTAATCTGCTTTGTCACTCCCAAGATCTCTACACAGGATTAGCGTGTTCGACTTTCAAAGTCTATTTACAATGAGGCCATGTCAGCGACTCAACGCTTTACCTCCGGGACAACAGGTTGCATCGGCTTCTTGAGTCGGTCCTCGCTGGCGGGCCGAGGTTTGAGGAGGGCCGTCCCAGCACAAAGGGCCCCCAGGGGTGTGTTGGGCTTGTACTGCAGAGGCGATGCATTATCCCTCGAAAGCAGCTCCAGGGTGTGGCCGGCAGGGCTCAACCGGTAGCGACCGCAAAGTACAATCAGGAGGTCCATCACCGGCTTGCTGCTCGCACCACACACAGCAACACGTGGGCAGCAGCAGCACAGACCACAGCTCGAGTCAACGTCAAACTGTGAACCACACAGGACATTTTTTGTTCCTGATTGAGGCATGACTCAGAATCTAGAAACCAGAAATTGTTAAAAGATGTAGCATAATATTCTTAAAGTATGGCTATGAACACTTGCAGATGTGTTTGTGTCATATTTACATTCATTATGTGGAGTGTAATTTGAATTACTGTTTATGGCCATAGCAATGGGTATGGAATGCAAGTTAAATCCTATTCATTTTGATCTCACAAATCGTACACAATGCATCTTCAAAACACTCACCATCCTAATGTATTACAAGGAGGGGGATCAATCATGTCTTGTTCACAACCATGGAATTCAAACACGGCTTAAAAAGTTAAAACATGTTGCATGGATACAAAATATATTTTTTTATGCTGTATTTAAAATGACCGTAAATATTTTCCAAGAAAGAAAATGGTGCGTTTATTATATTCATAGCTATTATTTGCGCATTTAACAAATCCAAAAAAACATAACACACTGGGGCAGATGCAATCACCCAAAGATGACCACATTACAGACAACTGAAAATAGTTTGTTCTAAATTGCTTGCAAAGAGGGTAATTTGACCTCGCAGCCATGAAGATTATGTTTTGTGAAAATAAACATTTATTTTAATGCATTTAAAACTCGCTATGATAGCACAGAAACCTTCCACATGGAGCCAGTTTTCCTGGGATCATTGCCCATCCACAGCACGTTCAACACTCTTGAACTCCATGCTCACGCCTTTCCAATTGCCATTTCAATGCTTGTGCCAAACTTGGGCGAACATAAAATACCTTTTTTAAAGGGCAAACATATGCCTCCCTACCCCACATCTCCAACTCCACTTAACAAAGCCTCTTAAACACCAGCTGCTTGAAGCTTGCTGATTCCAATGAGCCAGCTGAAAGGCATTTTTTCACAGTTTTAATTTACTTTTTGGCACGGCTTCAGTTATTTTTTTATAATCTTTATATATATAAGTAGATATATGAATGTGCTCAACAGCATCTGACTTTAAGCTTACAATCACTAATTATTTCCGCAGAATTTTTTTTTAGCATCCAACCTTGTAAGACACTGAAAACAACGGAGGATGCTATAAAAACATTAAAACGATGTATTGACACAAAACTGAAGTGTACACGAAGAATTGAAATTATTTCCCACACAGGCGGTGTTTATAACTATATACGCAGGAGGAGCCAGAGTTGAATTTAATCAATTGGACATCAATCTCATATTGTCCTGGATACGAGCACACTTCGCCTCATACTGGTACATTCCTACGTCTCTACCCATCCATCACTTGATCCCCGCAGGAATGGAATGAGTGTGTGTGGAAATCCAAGTGCACAACGCCGGGCACATGTGACACGCACCTGCCGTCGACTCGAGCCATGTGGTGCTCCCCACCCGGCAGAATGACGTTGAGCTCCACATTCTCCACTGAGAGACCATCACCCCCACCATGGTCTGGTGGGTCTAAGTTGGGGGGCCCAGTCTCGGACTGGGACCGCATCAGCGGTGGTACCGGTGCACGGGGCTTCATCTTCCGGCTGCAGAATAACAAAATAAAAAGCAGTGAACATTGCGCTGCTAGGCTGTTTAAGCTTTATTGTTAAATAAACAAGGGAGTTTGATTTCCATTCAGGGTTAATGCAGGTACATTCGTTAGGGCAAGGCGAAGCCACTCATTCTCCAATTTCAGTTGACTGGTGTTTTGGCAGAACGAATTATCAGCCACTTAGAGATCACAAGCAAATCCGGATTAGTGCATCCACATCTAACCCTCGCCTAAAACTGCAATTAATCAAGTGATAGGCATGTGACTGCCCTTACACACATCACTTTCAGATCTTGCATGGCCATATGCACTATATCCACAAATTTAAAGGAAATTAATGTATTAATTTATAGGTAGTAGCAGTAATGTATGATCATGATACTTTAAATTTAAAAAAAACATTTCATATAAATGAAGCAGATGCAACCATTATATTACAAATACAGTAATGTACTATGTACAGTATAGTATACCGTTTTAATTAGAAATGCCATAACAGATAACATAACTTTATAACCGCGTACTTTAAGTCGAAAAATTCAGTTACATAAAGGGAACCACATGATTTGTTTAGCTGGCCTGCCATGAAAGTAATACGATTTGTTTGACAATCACTATGACTAGGCACGGTATGAAACAGGTTAATGATATACTGCAGGTCCTGGTGGAATCCAAGTGTTTGGTGGTGTAAACTGCATCATTGCAACACACCAACTGTGCAGTTTGACCTCTGGGTTCACAAGTGATTCAAGAAGACTAAATGAGACATTTCAGAAATGCTTTACGTGCACTTGTAGATTGCAACCATGTCCAAGTCCCTATCGGAAGCCCAATGTAAGCAACGCATATTTGAAATACACTGCTTATTTTTACATTAACCCACAATCATATTATCATACCATGAGATGCCATTGAAAAAGATCGAGGTACAGGGCAGGAAAAGAAGTTAGAAAGGCCAAGTTCACGCGACATATTCTGTTGCATTGTATTTGAACTGTTAACATTGATGCAATACAGAATGTTGAATATAATGCACGTTAGTATGTGCATGTACAGCTCTTTAGCCAATGCAGTGTGCTGGTTGAGGACCTCCTCATGCTTTGCAAGTCATGAGCGTTGTTTGACCATACATCGCCACCACGATCAGTGCACGCGGGTGAAGACAAGTTTCAAGTTTCATTTATTTGGTATAGCCCTGTGAGCCATGCGGCTCTTGAGTCGGGTGCAACCGCAACAAACAAAATATGAACACAGAACATCCCAAAGCGATGACGCGTAACAGAAACATCCTGGAATAAAAGACGGGCAGCATGTCCACTCGCGCATGGCACAAGACACGACTGGTGACAACGTGGCTTTGCAGCAGCCTACAACACCTGTGCTCGTCACGGAGGGGTGCCCATTTAAGCAATATACATGCTCAATTATACTTAGCTTCTCAGATGTGATGTGAGCAGGTGCATGGAGGGATTGTGTCAAAATACACGAACGTATCGAATAGGGATTTCTTTGAAATGCCTTCAGTGACAAACTGCTTTCGTTGATTGTCTAATTCAGTGATTGCGATTTAATATATAGTTCTTCACAACGCTGACAAAGTGACGCATTTCACTTCAACTGTCGACCAGCAACACGTGGTGCTGCAGATATTTTACGATCATTCATTACCGGCACAAACTCTTCAAATTTGCTGTCTGGTTACCTATTAATCCCAAACTATTTGGTCAAAGTTTAAGAGCATTCACAAGCATGTATATATATGTACCCAAGGATTTATTTGGGTTTTTGTTAGAATTAATCAAGATAAATATTACTCTACAACAGTATATTTTAATTCAGAATTAATCGACAGAGCTGAACATTTTCAGTTTTAAAACAAACTAAAATTTACAGCCCTTTGTCAACCTATTGCTTTCTGTCAGCTGTGATGGTTGTTTGACCATACTTCACCACACTGGCCAATGTGGATTGGTAAGAGAGGCCCATGACCTAGTTCAGCTGTATCACTCGCAGCTGATGTTAGTTTATTAGCTGTGGCCTGCATTCCAGCTCATGTTCACAGCACAACCACATGCTCCACACAGCTCCCCCATTTAATTTAACATTGATTTCATAAAATATTATGGAAACTATGAGCAGACTAGCTTTCACAAGACCAAAACCAGCTGCACTTCTGTACAGCCTAGTTCCAATTAAAGATAAGATCATACACGAAAACGGCATTTGGCTACACTTCGTACACGAGACTTATAATAGCATAGAAAAGCCCTTTTTTCAATATAAATTACAAAAACAACACTTTGCTGTAACTTAAGACAGGTATGAGTTTTACCCTTACCTGTTTTCTCCATTTATATCTGCCGAGGACATTATGCTATAAACAAAATATATTGTAGGATAATAATAAAAACCCTATTGGCAGTGAAGCTGTCGAAGAGGTAAGCGCAAGCACACACACTGTGTGGAGCTTCCTCTCATGTGGTGAGCACACGAAAGCCAACAGCGCTCCGAGCACAAGCCACACCTGACGTCAGTATTGAAGGGTGTGGCTCACATCACGCCGCGCTCAAAGGCCACACAACATTGGAGCAGTAGCAGAGTTCAAGGCCGAGTGGGTCTGGCGACAAGCCCAATTAAGTCTAATTAGGGGCGAATACGAAGACAAATATTGACGACCTGACCAAAGTTATAATTATCAGCAGCAGCCCTTCATAATCTACCGTTTGGAAAAGGTGTCTTCATGTCAATTCCATCCGTCATGCTCCCAACAAATACAGAATCTTCTTTGCTTTAATGAACTTATTGTTCACTTGTGTTTTTAATCTTGAGCCCAGCTATGAAGCATTCTTTATTCAGTATTCAATCATGTTGGGTTATTCATTTCCTTTTGTTGTTAGAATAACTATCTTGTCAGCGAATCCGAGGTGGGATAATATTCTCTTCATTTATGTTTCATGCCTTTATTTATCCAATCATTTTTTTGGGAAACCATATACTGTTACTAATTGAGAGTATGTATATATATGGTCCATGGTAAAAACACATTTCATAATTCAAGCTAGTCCACCCCTAATGACTGGCCTGTAAATCGTCAATCATTCAATTTCCTATGATGTTTGTGAACATGTGATGTTTGAGTGATAGATAGGCTAATGGGTCTGAAATTATTCAAATCAGTTGCCTTCCTTTTTAAAGAGAATGATCAATCCAAAATTCATGCGTTTCACTTCTGTTTAGAAACAAATGAAATACCTTAAACATGTGCTTGTTAAATAAAGTCCATGGTTATGCAACCTAGTCTATAAACTTTCCCTATTTTCATACTGCAAAAGACAGTGGGTTACTTCTCGAAGTGTGACACCTGGAATTTCCTCTGCCGCCTCTGAAATTGTATTTACTTGGCAAAATACATCTACATAATATATCACTGCTAGATTTAGAAGTGTGTCTATCATGCACTATGCTTCCAATTTTCCCTCCACAAGCTACTATTCATGATTTTACCAATTACAATAGAAATGCGCTTTTTCTTCACGAAAGTTTGCATATTGTTCGACTATTTGTTCCGGAAAGGTTTCACAGACCTATGTATTGCATTTTGTTTTGGAATGTCCATCCCTTTTCAGATCTCTTATTTTCTACAACAGACATTGACTGGTTTCAGAAAGATTGTTCTCCATTTGCTTTATTACTTTCTTCCATGCTTTCAGTGTACTATTATAACACTCGTTATTTTATACTTAAAAGTGGTCACATTCATATCATGTTTCCTTCTCTATGGCTTGGAATCCGTTTCTCAGTCTTTATTTTACCACCTTCGAAATATAATTGTTGATGTTAAATGCTGTGCTTTTGCCGACAATGTGTTCGTCTATCACCTTAAAATAGTGTTATACCAACAGACACCACTGTACACCCATTGATATCTCATGCCAGCACACGACACATAAAAGTGGGAATGCTACAAGGCCACGAAATGTGAAAATCTACAAAATACCAGAAAAACAAAGAAGAGAGGCCAGCCCAATGATGGGAAACCAACTGCACCTCCTCAGGTTACTCATACCTTCAAACAGCTGTGGTTGACATTACCAACTCCTGCAACCCTGCGACCCAGGACCACATTGGCATCCCCCATGATTGGAAGCACGTCACCCGGGCTCCCGCACATTCACACATCAGTTGTGAACGTTCCAAAGCCTCAAACAAGAATAATACAATATGTGCACGAACCCATCAGGTTAAAAGAAAATCAGAGCGTGTAATAATCGGCACAGCTAACAGCATATAAACACGTGACAAACTACACCTGAACTAGGCCACTTGAATTACATTCCGGGCAAGGAAAAATGTAAACACTAAACAATTACTGGGAGAGGAGGAAGGGGACCCTATAAGGTAGCAAGCAATGTGTGTTAGTTTAACAATGTTTAGGGGCAATAGTTCAACATGTTACAACTACAGGTGCCTCTAAGCTACCTACAATGGCAGTACGAACACAATTCCCCAGGTTTGTTGTACGAACTTATTACATAATTAGATTTGGGCCACTGGGGACAATATGGCTGAGAAGTGTTGATTCAGTGGATGCCTGCGTGTTAGAGTAAGCAATGGCCAATCCAAGCATTTACTGATATCAATTAGTGGATAACGAAGCTGCCAGAACGTACATCGTTGGGGGATAGCAATTACTAAATGTTGGTAGTGTCCTTGCGTCTATTGGAAATTAGCTGTCTCCTCTCTTTGGCAGGGATGAGACAATCTCTGACAATCTGTGGTTTGTTAAAATCAAGTGAAATTAAATTTGTACTTTTTCTGTATGGGCTCCCCTGTGTCCATTTATAGTCATTTTTAAAAAAAAAAACTGTTTCATTATCTTCGTGTCCATGCAGGTTGTAAACTCTATTAGACACCAGTGTATACAACTGCACATGGGATAATAACGTGAAGCTCAGTCAAAGCAGCAATTGTGGGCAAATTTGGATGGGTGTG